CGGGGCTTGGACACCAGAATACTTTAATGATGCGGTGCGTTTTAGTCTTCCCATAAAATTACCAAAGTATCCTTTTGTACTCTATATCTAAATATGAAGGAGCTTTCTTTCTTCTTTTTTTTTTTTTTTTTTTTTTTTATCAATTTATAATTATTTGCAGGTTAATTAGAAGAGGAGGGAAAGGGTTTTTGTGGGGCTCGAATGTGTAACTCACCGGAGGTGAACAGCCCTAATCCAGGGTCCAATACCACTGAGTCGGAGTGGACCATTCATGAAGGAGCTTTCTTGAGGGTTAAGAAGTGAGAGTAATACACTTAGACACCATTAGCCACCATAAGAGAAACAATGTTGTCCTTCAGGATTTAAGGGGTTTTCTCAAAAAGAAAGAATTTGGGTGTATAAAGGATTCTTACCAGAATTCAGTTGAGTGATTTATACTATTCAAATCTTTTGTACTTACTTGATTTCATAGTGGATTTGATACTCTTTTTTGCTCATGAATGTAGTTATGTATTGTAGTAGTGAACCACATATATTATGTATTTACTTTATTTTCTACACTTTGATTACTGAATTCTTGTTTCTGCTGTGCACCAAATTTCTCTCCAAAAACAAGAGCAAAAACATCTCTTCAATGCTAATTATATTCTATTAGTCTACAACCGATATGAAAAACTAATGAAGAAAGCTGTAAGAAATATAAATATATTTGTAGCCTGCAAGTGTATTTTTCTCTAATTGAGTCCTGAATCTTTCTTCTTATGCAAACAAGTCTTAAAATGTTTTACAAAATACTCAATCAAGCATCTAGATATTAGATTGCATCTTTTGAAAGGGTAAAGTTGTATTGTACTTCTTTTATCTCTTTTTTAGTCTAAGCTTATCTTTCCAGAAAATATATATATATATAATTTATGATTTCAATCATTCAAATTGTAAGTGCTTACTCATACAATTAGTATAAATTTCTTTACTTGTTATTCAATATTATAAAAATTGATAGACGATTATGGATGTTGACCATTGCCTAGTACCTAGGCATTACGTGACCTAGGTTTTTTTCAGAAATGTCAACAAATTAAAAAAATGTCAATATTCTATCTAAAAAAAAATGTAATGTTTTAAAAGTGTTGAAATAATTGATATGATGTATTATGCCTAGAACTCATATTGTTTGGAAATATGAGTAGGACCTAGTTGTTTGTCTAGGCACTATAAGAAAAAGATTGATTTCTTGCATTTGTTTAAAATTTACCTGTACTTTTAAATACAAGTAAAAACATTGCCAGCATTTACACAAACGCCACATGGCATCGATAATGCCAGTAAATATAATACTTACATCTAATGCAAATACTGGTATAAACTTATTTTCTCTTGCATTTATTAAAAACGCAAAGAAATCCCTCAAAGAAACACAGGTAATGCCCATGTCAAAAGGCTTTTTTTTTTTTTTTTCACTACTTTTGGTTACCAGAACACTATCGTATCGTCGAGATGTTTCCATTCTCCTCAGTTGAGAATTCCGAGAATCCACCACCATCGCCACCGATTGGTGGCGGCGATAAGGTCTCGAGAAGTGGCTGAGATACAAACATGTCATCTCCAGAGCTGTATGATTGACTGCTGAATATTGGCGGCGAGTCACAGACCGAGTCCTTGATTGAGCCAACATCGAAGTTGGAGAACGAGTCGAATCGCTAAGACGGAAGGCGAGGATCGTAGCCAATGTAGCCATCATCATCAAAGGGGCGAGACGCCATTGTTTTCTGCTTCTATCTTCCCCACTGACACCCACTGATTGCTACAATTACGGCGAGTCTCAAATCCACAAACAAAATCCATGTGATAATGCTCGATGATGACAGCAATTAACAAATTGAGTTGAAGGATAATCAAAATGAAATTAGAAATGAAGATAATCAGAATCAAAACCGTAATAAAAAATGAGCTCGTGGAAAAATTGTTGGAGGAAATGAAAATTAATGTTATGCATTCTAGAACTTGACTAAAAATTGTTTTCTAGTTCCTTGCCGTACTCTTTTTATTAGATTTAGTGCTATTTCAACTTTCTTTTTCTTCTTTTTTTTTTTTTAATTAACTTCCTGCATTTAATAAATAAAATGCAAAAATCCACCTGCATTTTGCCAAATGCCACTAAAGTATAACTAGTAAAAACCAAAAAGAATAATTGGCTGGCATTTGGTACAAACGCAAAAAATAAAATGCAGGCAATTAGCATTTTTCTTGTAGTGAGGTTAGCCCCCTACCACCCCTTATTATTGATGGTATCAAGAATTTAGAATCGAATGTTACAACCACAAGAAAAGGAATGGTAAAGGGAAATGAGGGGAAAGGTTGCTTTCTAAATACAAGCCAGGCATTTTTTAAAAGAAAATATGTATGTTGTGGTGCATGCTCTATATTCCTCCCTTCTCTTTCTGTCGGTGTTGTATTTTCTTCTTCATGTTGTTGTTTATAGCCCTAAGAAACTTGTGAAAGAGAGCAAACTTTTTCCCCATTAATTTGTGAACCTCTAAAGTCTTTGCAAGGTGAAATTAAGTTGTCATGCTGAAGCTGCATCAGAATACCACCAACACAAACATAATTTCTGTTGTTTCTCTAGTTTCAGATTGATAAGAATGTTTAATTTTTTTTTTCCTTTCATAAGCAAGATTAAAAAATCATAAAAAAATACCAGCACCTGTCAGGACTGCATCTCAACAATTTCTCCATTCAATTTTGCACATGGCATGGCCACTGGATGGTTAATTTTTTTCTCAAATAGCAAACCAACGAGCACAAGAACCAGAAGAATTATATTTGCATTTGGAATAATAGGAGCAATGTCAACATCCCCAACATAATTCAATCAATTTCTTCACCTGTGCTTCAGTTCAATTAACAAGATAAGACCAGCCTCCCCTGGGTCCTGCTGGCTAAGAATCTGTATTCTTGACCTTGGGGTTTGGGGTTCAAAGGCTGGTGAGAAGGATGAGGATCCAAATTCCAAAAAAATTAACAAGATAAGAATACTAGTTTTCTACCCGTACGGGCAATTTTCATAATTAAAATGACCACAATGCCCCTAATACTTTAAGTTTTAAATATTTTTTTAATTATTATTTTGAAATATATTATAGAAAATACTTTCTCTTACATACTTTTTTTCATTTTTGAATTTATTTTAATTACATATAACGTGATTCAAACTTAATTTTTTTTATTTTTATTAAGAAAATATCATTACTAAATTAGTTAAATTTTAAAGAATTATAAAAAGATGTTGTAATCATTTCTTGTGCGGACTAAAAGGAAAAAAGTTCTCATCTACAATATAAAAATCACATTTCAGAGTAGATCTTGTCTTGGGGCTACTGTCCTTTTCACGGTACATTCATATGACTTAATCCAAATTTATTTTGCGCTGACATGATTCATCCACATCGCTATGCTGTTACCCACAACTTTGTTCATCTCTGAAAGATGGGATTTCTCAATCAGGGTGGTTCATTTTCTTTACACATATAATTATTAGGTCAGGTAAAACTCTTCTTGGGCCATGCACTCAAGGCAAATGCCAACTAACATAGCCTAGCTTATTAATTTGAAAGAATTAATGTTAATTTCCGCTACGAAATCATGAAACTGGTTTACTGGGCTAGGAAGCTTGCGCGACATAAGCTCCACAAGTACCGTAGGGTTCTTTCGATCAGTTCTTCAGCAAGAACCCAGGTTTCCCCTTTTTCTAT